GGGTCGGTGCTCCTGCAATTGCAATTGCGGTATTTCCCCCACAGACCACCAGGGCGGCCGAGAATACCTTTGTTCAACCTGAAATGACTCATTTAATCATCCATAACGTTATGGAACACATTAATTAACTGAAAAATGTTGCATAGTGTGCCTTTAAATAAACAGGAGATAATTGACTAAGTAAAGGCCTGCCATATCATACTGACCAGGAAATTCACAATGCTGTATTAACACCTGAAATGCCTCAGATTTAGATGAACCAAAATGAGAAAAAAAAACATATTTTTATAGTATGGTTGCCACAATCATTTTGTTTTCAATGTGCAAAGTTGTTCAAAGTAAACGGAGTCCCCCCTAAACAACAGACGTCATTTAAATGTTGGTTTTTAGGCTGGTCAGTCCATCATAGCCTTGATTTAGTCCAGAAATATTTGTTGAAAACTTGGCTGCGTTTGGTCGGTCTGATTTGTCCAACCTTAGTCCAATAATAGACGTTGAGAACCCAGTTTTCAACATCTTTTTCAATGATCTAAAAACTACAGCCTTTCACTTTTCAATCAAATGTAGATGAAGTAAATCATGTCGTCTTTTTAACCCATTTTTGCTTGGTGGGGTTAAATTACAATTTTGCCCAAACTGAAGGAGATTTAAAATCTTTTGAAACTGCAACTATCAACAATGTTGCTTTACCCTGAGGGGGGTCAAAATATTTATTTATCTCATTATTTTATCCCTAATCGTGACGACGTTGGTTAACATGGAAATCCTATGACCAATCACATTCATGGCAAGCCTATGAAGAGACGAGAGAGAGGAAATGAAAATGGAACATGCCAGTTGTTGCCCAAATATTTTAAACTGAAATCACAGTTAAAGTACATAAACTAAGGGGAGGAAGAGCAAAATATGGTTGTCTTAAAAGTGTCAAAGATATGTTTATTTTTTTAATCTAGGGGATTTAAATCACAGGGCTGCACAATGGCGCAGTGGGTAGCACGGCTGCCTTGCAGCAAGAAGGTTCCAGGTTCAATTTCTGGCCCGGTGGCTTTCTGTATGGAGTTTGCATTTTCTCCATGAGCATGTGTGGGTTCTCTGCGGGTACTCCGGCTTCCTCCGACAGTCCAAAAACATGACTGTTAGGACAAACAACCATTCACACAAACACTCACACCTACGGAGACTTTATAGAAGGTAATTAACCTGTTCGTATCCATGTAGCCCTGCGATTGACTGATGACCTGTCCAGGGTCTAACCCACCTCTTGCCCATTGACAGCTGGAGATAGGCATCACCACCACTTGCGACCCCAGCTGGGATGAGCATCACAGAAAATGGGTTGTTGGATGGGGATTTAAATCTGGCCAGAGATGCTGAACATTAATTCCAATCAGTCCTTTGAGACCGCGGCCCTGTAAAATAAAGGCCTGGAAGTTCGGACTGTGGAGGATTCCAGAATTGCCTTATTGTTTTCAGTAGCTATAGCTTCTTTGATTCTTACCTGGACTTACCTAGCCTGCCATGAGCCCTGTTTTTGTCAATATCTGACAAGCAGAGACTGAGACTGCATTGCTCTATTGGCTACCTAAGTATTTTAGTATTCATTTCAAGATTCTTTTGTTATTAATGTTTACATGGTCTGGCCCCACCTTACCCCACTGAGCTCCTCCACCTAACATCTCCTGCTCATTGCCTCAGTTTGGCTGATCAGCTGCTCACATCTAAACCTCTCAGTGATTCTGCCTTCAATGTATAAAACTTACTCACCTTAGCACATATTTTCATTCCTTGGCTTTTATTACACTGATAATCTGCTCCTAGTCCTTTTCAGTTTTTATTGTAATATTTTATTCTATATTTAGAATGTTTATTTTGTGTGTAATATTGTCATATGATTAATGTAAAAAAAAAAAGAAAAACATGACATTTCTCAATTTCTCTGACATGGGAGCTGGCTCGGAGCTCGTCTGCCTGGCTGTGTGTTTCCTGGACGGGGCCGCCTTCTACAGCTGCTTTTTGTATCTCTGCTTCTTTCTCTATGTCTGCTTCTGTCTCCTTGAACCCCAGNATGGGGGGGAGGCATGGGGGGAACACTGCCTAAGAAATTCCACGTCAGTTTCTGACAATTTACGGGAGTTTTCGTAGAAGCCTGCAAATTGCCGTAAACTGCCGCTAACCTGAAGTTCCACGACAATCTACAGTGCCGTAT